GATGGAAACCGTGCGGGACGCGATCGTAGCAGGCGACAGAAGACGCTGTCCGCCAGTTCGTCGCTGCGATCTTGGGCGGACGCGCAGTAGAGAATCTTGTACTCGTCGTCGACGATGATGTTTCGCGCTGACCGCCCATCTAGCGACTGCGTGCGAGTTTGCGAGCGATCGGGTGGTTTGGACTCGCAGACGCTCTTGATGCGAGGAGCGCTGAGCGTATCAGGCGGTCGCTCCTGCAGCGGATAGAGAGAGAGTATTATGATTAGGCGTGAGATATAAATGGGATAGGAAAAAGAGCGAGGATGAGAGAGACTAGAAGAAAGAGAGAGATGAAGAGAGGAAGAGGAGAGAGAGAGAGAGAGAGAGGAAGAAGAGAGGAGGAAAGAGAGAGACAGAGAGAGAGCGAGAAAGAGAGAGAGAGAGAGAGAGAAAGAGAGACGAGAGAGAGAGAGAGAGAGAGAGAAAAGAAGCGGTAGCGCAGAGAGAGAGAGAATAGAAACGCTTAATATTTAAGACAACATTAGGATAAGTTCAAGGTCAATGGGGGCATGCGACACGTGGAAAATACCCAGCAACATTCTCAGTTATACTAACCTGTTGTGTCATGGACTATGGCTTGCTTTATTACTGCTATCCTGATTTACGGGAGCCCCGAAGTGTCCCGTTCCTGAAATTGATGGATGACAGGCCGGGTGAGGGCAGCACGTGATACGAATGACGCTCCTACATAGAATTTACTAAGTTTCCACTTGACATGCGAATACTGACTGAATCAAGATTTAGTACACAACTGGACTGCGGTTGCTGATTCCTAACACATTCGCTGCGGGATTGCACAAATACGGGTTTAGCATACCGCATATACGGCACGCCACGCAACGTACGAGCATGTACGCACGCACGTTGGTACAGTGACGGTACGCATGTAGCGCACGCAACACCCGTACGTACCATAGTACGCGACGCACGTAAGAGGATGTTACGCACGCACGCACGTACGTACGCATAGTAAGCACGCACGGTACGTAGCGATGTCGCACGGCACGTACGTACGCATGTACCACGCACACACGTACGTAACGCATGTACGCCAGGCGCACCACGTACGTACGCATAGTACGCACGGACGCACGGTACGTACGCATGTACGCACGCACGCACGTGGACACGTACGCATGTACGCACGCACGCACGTACGTACGCATGTACGCACGCACGCACGTACGTACGCATGTACGGCACCACACACGTAGTACGCATGTACGCACGCACGCACGTACGTACGGGGCATGTCGCACGCAGCGCACCGTACGTAGCATGTCACGCACGCGCACGCACGTACGTAGCGCATGTACGCAGCGCACCGAGGCGCAGTACGTACGCATGTACGCACGCAGCATAACGGACCGCACACACACACACACACACACACCAACACCAGCACACAGCACAGAGCACAGCACACATACACGCACATCACAACACCACACAGCAGCCACACACAGACACACCACACACACACAGCCGCAGCCACGGCACTCACACACACACACACAACACCACACGAGATCACACACGCGTGAGCAATTAACGCGACCCAGCAAACACGAATATTTACACACACACACACACACACACACACACGCGACGTACGTACGCACCACACAGCACACACACACGCGGGCAACACAGATGCTTGTCAGCAACAGGTGGGCGTTATCGATAAGGCAGCAGCGTCATGACTCCTCGCTCCCGAGCTGCTGCTGCTGCCGGACGGCCGACGTGTGGCGACGACGAAACAGCATAAAACGCCGACGACACACGTCAGAAGGGCAGCGCTTTGCCTTCGCAGCAGCCGAGCGTAACGCCGTGTTGTGACGCGATACATCGTCGGTGGCAACCCACCTCCATCGAGTCATCGTCCTCGCTGGGGCAACACGTCACCGTCCCGAGTCTACGTCACTGCTGTCCAGGCCCTGTGTAACGTATAATGTATAACTATATACTATATACTTATATACTATATACGATATACATTGAATATACTATATACTATATACTATATACTATATACTTAATACTATATACTATTACATATAATATATGCTATATATAATATATACGCTAACTATATAACTATATAATATATACGCTAACTATATAAACTATATAATATATTACTATATACTATTATACTAGTATACTGATATACTATTATACTATATATACTAGCTGCATCGTATATATATACTATTATACTATATATATACTATATACATATATACTGCTTAAACGTGTTACGAAATTTATATATGTTATATGTATATATAGTATATATATATAATACTGATTCAGAAATGTACCACAAACACGCAACACCGGCAACATGCACTGCGCTCGAGCGCTGTGTGGAACGAATGTATTATAGTATACTAGTATATATATTACTATGTGCGAAATATATATACATATATATATATCATATATATATATATATATATACGAGAGAGAGAGAGAGAGAGAGAGAGAGAGAGAGAGAGAAGAGAGAGAAGAAAGAGAGGAGAAGAGAGAGAGAGAGAGAGAGAGAAGAGAGAGGGAGATGGAGGAGCCAGATGAGAGGAGGAGAGAGAAAAAGACGTATGAAGAGAGAGTAGGAGAGAGCAGAGAGAGAGTAGTAGAGAGAGAGAGAGCAGGGAGAGAGAGAGAGAGAGAAGAGAGAGAGAAGAGAGAGAAGAGAGCAGAGAGGGAGAGAGAGAGAGAGCGCGGCTCACACTATTGCAGTCTTACAAACTGTTTCACGGCCGTAGTAGCGGGTGAGAGGTGGGAAAAGGGGGAGGGTGGAGATCTAGCGGGGAGATGGGGATGGGAAAGGAGGGAGGCGGGGATCCTAGGCGGGAGAGGCGTGCGTGGGATAAAGGGGGGGGGAAGATCCTAGGCAATCCTCACCTGCGTACCATTGAAAAGATCCCCCCTCGGCGACTCTGCTCTCTTCACCCCTCCGCCAGACACAGCGCGCATGCGCATCGAGTACCCTCTCGGGGTTTCATCTTCAAGTCCTGGTTTGTAGAGGCGGACTGCTTACCGGGTTCTTGCTGATTCAGTGTATGTGGGGTAGATATCTTGACCAGCGCGACTAAACCACCTGAATGCACGTAAGCAGCTTAACTGCGTAGTAAACGGTACTTAACCCCGGTATCATCTCCAGCGCGCTCGCTCCCCATAAGAGTGTCTGCTAGCGAACACTATACACAAGCACTACGCGCATTTAGTTATCGGACATACTGTGGTGCACGCAAGCTTACTAGGGGAAACGTGTAGGAGATATGTTTCTGAACAGTACATTCAAGTGTGGCGACATAGGTCGCTATTACATAGGGCCTCGACTCATCGATAATGAGTGTTGCGAGGTAAGGGGTTAGGGTTTAGGGTAAGGAGTTTCTGTTCAAGACTAACTATGGGTATAAGTTTAGGAGGCATGGTTTAGATTAGGCGTTAGGACATGGTTAGTTCATGGTTGACGTTTTGTGGTTAGTCGGTTTGGCGGTAGCATGTAAGGTTATGTTACGGTTAAGATAGCGTTAGGAGTTAGGTTTGCGGTATGAGGTTCAGGTGTTAGCGCTAGGATTAGGAGTATTAGGAGTATGTTTAGCGTTAGGGTTAGGGTTGGGGATAGGATTAGGATAAGGAATATGTTTAGGGTCAGGGTTAGAGGCAGGGTTAGGGTTAGAGTTAGGGTTAGGGTTAGAGGTATAATTAGGGTTAAGAGTCTGGTTTTAGTTAGGGGTATAGTTAGGTTAGGGTTAAGGTTATGGTTATGGTTAGGGCTAGGGTTAGAATTAGGATCAATGGTAAGGTTAGGGCAGCGACATACTGACAACATCTAACGCGGGCGGATCGAGTGATCTAACGACGCCGACACCAATCTAAAACAGTAACATCCCGTGCGTAACGAACCACGTAACGTTCCTACGTTACCTACCCAGCGTTCTAGCGCGTATCTTCGTGTGTAGACACTATATTATCCCTCTCTCAGACACGTCTGCGTCGTTACCTGCGTCACCGCACATTCGCAGAATCGTTCACGACTCCTCTGTTGAACGCGTTTAAAAATCAATCACCAAAAACGCATCGACGTACCGAGCGTTGGCAGAAACCTTTACAAATCCTCACAGATCTCTATGAATGCCTCACAGATCCTGGCACTGAACGGGACGAACGCGCCTGTCCGACGCGACCTCCGTGCATGGAGACACGTGGTCCTCCTGCGTGTATGTGTATGTGTTACAAGCGCGGTAGTAACATTGATGCGCAAAAAGCCGGCGAGCGAGAGAGAGAGAGAGAAACCGGTTATGTGTGTCGACTCGCTCGACTTCTTCTTCACTCGCGAGCTGTTGTGCTGCTGGCTATGCTGCTGCTGCCTACGCTGGGTCGTTGCCCCTCGCGTGATCTGTATGTATGTGGAACGTACGGCCAAATGGACTTAGCTCGCTCGAGTCAGGAGTGTCATGAATAGGACCATCATCTGGTATATGTTTAGGAGTGTCAGTGATATAAGATGTATGTCATTTATACTATGACAGTCTCTGGTTATTGTCAGGACGTGTCATGATATATATCATGTCATCTAAGCTATTGACAGTCTTCCTGGTATTGTCAGAGTGTCATGATATAGATGCATGTATGTATAACTATGACAGTCTCTGGTAATGTTAAGGAGTGTCATGATATAGATCAGTCATCTATACTATGACAGTCTCCTGTATTGTTAGATCGAGTGTCATGATATAGATCATGTCATCTAACGTATGACGTCATCCTGGTATTGTTAGGAAGTGTCCATGATATAGATTATGTCATCTATAGCTATGCCAGTCCTCCTGGTATGTGTTAGGAGTGTGAATGATATAGATTTCATGTGCATCTATACTATGACAGTCTGCTGTAATTGTTAGGATCGTGTCATGATATATGATCATGTCATCTAATACTCTGACATGTCTCTGGTATTGTTAGGTCGAGTGTCATGATATAGACATGTATCTTATACTCATGAAGTCCCTGGTATTGTTAGGAGTGTCATGATATAGATCATGGTCATGCTATGACTATGACAGTCTCCTGGTATTGTTAATCGAGTGTCAATGATAATAGATCAAGTCATCTATACTGATGACCGTCTCCTGTATTGTTTAGGATGAGTGTCATGATATAGATATGTCATCTATACTATGACGAGTCGTCCTGTATTGTCTAGGAGTGTTATTGAATAGATCATGGTCATCTATCACTATGACAGTCTCCTGGGTAATTGTCAGGAGTGTTTATGATATAGACATGTCATTGCCTATCACTATGACAGTCTCGCTGGTATTGTCTAGGAGTGTTATGATTAGATATGTCATCTATTACTATACAGTGTCCTCCTGTATTGTTAGGAGTGTTATCGAATATAGATCATGTCATCTAATACTATGCATCTGCCTGTAATGTTAGGCAATGTCATGATATATCAATGTCATCTATACTGATGACAGGCTCCTGGTATTGTTAGGACGTGTATTTGTATAGATCATGTCATCTATACTATGACAGTGCCTGGTGATTGTGTAGGATCGAGTGTCATGATAATAGGGAGTCATGTCATCTATACTATGACAGTCTCCTGGTATTGTTAGGAGTGTTATGATATAGATCATGTCATCTATACTATGACAGTCTCCTGGTATTGTTAGGAGTGTCATGATATAGATCATGTCATCTATACTTATGACAGTCTTCCTGTATTGTTTTAGGAAGTGTCATGATATAGATCATGTCATCTATACTATGACAGTCTCCTGATATTGTTAGGAATGTCATGATATATATCATGTCATCTATACTATGACAGTCTCCTGGTATTGTTAGGAGTGTTATGATATATATTATGTCATCTATACTATGACAGTCCCCTGGTATTGTGTGTCGCGTCACCAATGACTCGATATATAGATATACTGGTCACAGAGAACGCTCAGCATGCTGCTGTATATATATTGCTGTTACTAGTAATGGGAGTTATACTAACATATGATAGTATGTGTAACGCTATATAGATATACTGTCACAGAGAACGCTCAGCATGCTGGCTGTATATCATATTGCTGTTACTATTTTAGTAATGGGAGTTATACTGACATATGATAGTATGTGTAACCGCTATATCGCTATACTGGTCACAGAGAACAGCTGATATAATATATTGCTGTTACTAGTAATGGGAGTTATACTAACATGATAGTATCACGAGCTAATAATACATGCGTTATGTATTATATTATATTATATTATATGTTAAATATTATATATAGTTTTAGCCCAACGATATGATAGTATCCCGAGTTAAGCTAATGCATAGCGTTATGTATTATACTATTATTAAATTAATTATATTATATATATGTTAAATATTAATTAATATAGTTATACCAACATATGATAGTATCACGAGCTAATAATACATGCGTTATGTATTATATATTATTATATTATATTATATTATATTATATGTTAAATATAATATATAGTTATACCAACATATGATAGTATCACGAGCTAATAATACATGCGTTATGTATTATATATGATTATAACCCTAATCCTAGCGCTAACCCTAACCATACCCGTAACCCTAACCCTAACCCTATCCTTAACCGTAACTATAACCTTACATGCTACCGCCAACCCTAACCCAAAACCTAACCATGAACGTAACCATGTCCCTAACCCTAATCTAAACCATGCCTCCTAAACTTAACCCTAGTTAGTCTTAACAGAAACTCCTTACCCTAACCCTAACCCTATCCTTAACCGTAACTATAACCTTACATGCTACCGCCAACCCTAACCCAAAACCTAACCATGAACGTAACCATGTCCCTAACCCTAATCTAAACCATGCCTCCTAAACTTAACCCTAGTTAGTCTTAACAGAAACTCCTTACCCTAACCCTAACCCTATCCTTAACCGTAACTATAACCTTACATGCTACCGCCAACCCTAACCCAAAACCTAACCATGAACGTAACCATGTCCCTAACCCTAATCTAAACCATGCCTCCTAAACTTAACCCTAGTTAGTCTTAACAGAAACTCCTTACCCTAACCCTAACCCTATCCTTAACCGTAACTATAACCTTACATGCTACCGCCAACCCTAACCCAAAACCTAACCATGAACGTAACCATGTCCCTAACCCTAATCTAAACCATGCCTCCTAAACTTAACCCTAGTTAGTCTTAACAGAAACTCCTTACCCTAACCCTAACCCTATCCTTAACCGTAACTATAACCTTACATGCTACCGCCAACCCTAACCCAAAACCTAACCATGAACGTAACCATGTCCCTAACCCTAATCTAAACCATGCCTCCTAAACTTAACCCTAGTTAGTCTTAACAGAAACTCCTTACCCTAACCCTAACCCTTAGCCTCGCACACTCTTATCTACGGAGGGCCCTATGTATAGGACCTAATTCGCCACACTTGAATGTACTGTTTCAGAAACTATCTCCTAACGTTTCCCTGTAACCTTGCGTGCACTACAGTATGTCCGTATACTAAATGCTGTGTAAGTGTTCGTAGCAGACACTCGTATGGGGGAGGAGGACGGGCTGGAGATGATACCGGGGTATATACCGGTTTACTACGATTAAGCTGCTACGTGCATTCAGGTGGGTTTACGTGCGCGCTGGTCAACATACTCTGCCCCACATACACGTGACAGCAAGAACCCGGAAGCAGTCCGCTCTACAACTCAGACTGAAGATGAAACCCCGAGAGGTGACTCGATGCGCATGCGCCGTGTGTCTGGCGGGGAGGGGTGGAGAGAGCGAGGTCGCGAGGGGGGATCTTTTTTCAGTGTACGAGGTGAGGAATTGCTAGGATCTCCCCCTCCCCCTTTTCCCACCCTCTCTCCCGCTAGGATCTCCCCCTCCCTCCTTTCCCACCCTCTCTCCCGCTAAGATCTCCCCCTCCCCCCTTTCCCACCCTCTCTCCCGCTAGCTACGGCCGTGATAACAGTTTGTTAAGAGCTGCATATGTGAGCGCTCTCTCTCTCTTTCTCTCTCTCTCTCTCGCTCGCCGGCTTTTTGCGCTATCAATGTTACTACCGGCTTGTAACACATACACATACACGGCAGAGAGACCGACGGTGTTCCATGCACGGACGGTCGGTCGGACAGGCGTTCGTTCCGTTAGTGCCAGGATCTGTGAGGATTCATAGAGATCTGTGAGGATTTGTAAAGGTTTCTGCCAACGCTCGGTACGTCGATGGTTTTTTGGTGATTTGATTTTTTAAACGCGTTCAACAGAGGAGTCGTGAACGATTCTGCGAATGTGCGGGTGACGGCAGGATAACGACGCAGACGTGTCTGAGAGAGGGATAATATAGTGTCTACACACGAAGATACGCGCTAGAACGCTGGTAGGTAACGTAGTAACGTACGTGGTTCGTTACGCCACGGATGTTACTGTTTTTAGATTGGTGTCGGCGTCGTTAGATCACTCGATCCCCCGCGTTAGATGTTGTCAGTATCGCTGCCCTAACCTTACCATTGATCCTAATTCTAACCCTAGC